CATCCTTACTCTCATAGGGATCTTGTTCCTTCCTCTCTCGCTCCCTCCCGTTCTCTCGCGTTATCTGCGGTTCCTTCTCTGCCCGAGGGACACGTCCTCCTCGTTCTAGCCGTCGCGGAACCGGCCCGGCTCCGCGATTATTCCAAACTCATTTTAACTCATTACCCGGGTCCGCCGTTGCAGAATGGCGCGTCGACAAGTGCGCGGTACGTGAGCACGTCGGTACGATGCTCGAAAAGCCGGAATATAAATATGAAAATTCGCGCGAGGGGCATCTCCCTCGCGTTCGTTCGTGACCGCTCTTGTACTCCGTGCCATCATATATGCGTACGACGATTCCATTAAAATTTATTACCGTCGCGATAAATTCTTGTTGCGTGTTATAACTTTCGAACCGTTGGCGTTGCCTCGAATGAAAAAAGATTAACTATTGAAGGATGATTATCTAGAAATTACAATTAATTCCGATTTTCTTTCACTGGAGAAGCTTATAATGTAGTTATTACGCTGAAATAATAGTTGCTTGCGTGCCGCGAAATGACGTTAATTCGTACGATAGTCGTTTAAACGTGTAAATTTAAAAGTCGACAGAATGATCGTTGTTGAAGAAACTTTTTCGGCAAGAAGATTACGCGATCAACTAAAGCGGGCATTCAATTTCGAGTTCTTCCCAAACTCCATTAACTACTTCTCCAAGAGGATACTCCGGCAAGCAGCGATCTCTCCTACGGTCATGGGAGTAATTCCTCTCCGACTTTGACCGGTATGTACATGGCGGGCGGGATAAGTTTCGAGCTGATCATTAGGTAAGTTTAGAAAAAGGGCCACTCCGAGGTTTCATTAGGAAATGGATGAAACAGTGGATATACGAGGATTGGAAAGGAGGCAGTTCTGTACGTAGTAGGAAAGGGGAAAGCTTTGAAGCTCGCGATGACTCGAACTGATAATCCATTAGGATCCGTCTACTTAGAGTATAACATCTATTTGAATGCAAATCAATAGGGAATGGGAAAGGACGGTAGCCAGTAATTGGTCCGGCTTTATTGGAGCTCTCAGTGTCTCAAAGAGCATCTCGTTCGGTCATCTCCTCTCTCTGGCTCCGCTTCAGCGTCTCCTGCCTGTCCCCACTCCCTTCCCGTTCGTTTCTATCCCTCTGTCTCACAATCTCTTTCCCTATGCTTCTCCAGAATTGCTCTTCCTCTCGCATTGCCTTCACAAACCTCTGTCGCTTCCGTAACGTTCGCGTTCGCGTCCGCGTCCGCGCACGCTCGTCGCACAAAATATACATAATGCTCAATGGTAATTAACCGAGATTTCGTTCTTTTTAGCCAGTTCTACCAAAGCACTCGGTATACATTCAAGCTTATCCTAACAATTGCAAATTGCTACCTCTATAAAATAACTTGTTATTACTGTCGTTCTCTTAATGCGGATTCAGTTTAAAGTTTCAATGGCAAACGCTGAATAGAATATCATATTTCTATCGCAACGTTCACAGTTTTTATCATTAAGTAATAGCAACTGAGCTTAAACAGATTTCTCTTAAAGCAAAATTTACTTAAAAATAACTAAAAACGAATTTTTATTTCATCATTAATGCTTGATATTTAGAACATCTTAACATTCAATATTGAAATTAGTGTAAAATTCAGCGCCGTCATAAATGTCATGTCTAAAGATCACTAACGTTCCCGGCCCACATACGCGAATTATTTCTGTTTGGATAAAAAAGTTAAAGATTCCCTCGATTTTCTCAAACTTTCTAAACTATTTTAAGGCGCGACATGTCAATGTCCGGTGCGTAACGTCTTTTAGAATTTCGACAATCGCGGACAAAGAGTAAACTAACGAGAGAAGTATTGAAGCGTGTTCCCCGTATAGTGTTCGCTCATATATGTAGTTCGCGCGCGACAACCTTCTTTCTCGCTTCTTCCTAGGCAGGTGCAGAGCGATTCATTCCCCGTCGTTGCGTGAGTGCTAACAGCACGGCGAGAGATGAAATTAATTCCAGCCACGTTCGAGCCACTCAATGGCTTCTTACTTTCCGTCGTCTTACGGTCGCGCACAAGTATCGCGAGTTCACGTTCGGTAATGGCTTGTAAGAGGAAACGCCGAAGATTTATAGGTTGCCACAACGAAAATGTGTGTGCGAGCCCAACAATGCGCTGATACAATATATATACCGAGGGGGTGGCGCGCGGCTGCCGGTATACATGACCTCCGACAAAAACGTGTACGTACAATCGGACTGGCGCGATTGCGAATGGGAGTTTCTTTTCGCGCGACCGCCATGATTAACGATTGAACGCACTCGACTTCCGATCCGAGACGCTTCGACATTCCACGAACGGTGAAGAACGGTCGCCCCGCTGCCGCCGCCGTTCGCTCGTTCTCTTCGATCGCGCCGCGCGTTCTTTGATTTTTACTTCCTTTCTCCGCGCTACCCTGCCCGCATCCGATACGTTTCGCGCCTTCGTATTCATTGATGTATCGCGAGCTATCCATCTCCTGTTTCCGAACAGCGCTCCATTTTTCTGCGCCCATGAAGAGGAATGGGAAAAATCAATGCGACTTCTCAGAAACGGCGCCCGCGATGTTTGTACTCCTCAAATGTTATATTTAAACGTGTAACGTAAATTTCCTTCCTCCTGATTTCGCGTTTAGATATGTAACGTTATCGGACGTCGAGAATTTATAAAAGTGTTAACACATTAATATATTTAATTCAAATATTACAGAGTGGATAATGCTGCGCAAAGATATTTAATTTTTTCACGTCACTGAAGGATACGGCGCTTAATTAGGTAATCATTCTTATGGAAAAATTATCTAACAAAAGCTGGATTAGTAAAAAAGTAATAAAATCGCTGTACGCTATTGAAAGCTAGTTGAAGAATTGATAGGTACTCGTAATATATTTGTCGATATTTTCTTTGTACTTTGTGAAACACTAAAGTAAGCGATAATAAATTTGTTATCTCCAGACGACTCTAATAAGACTATCAAAATGAGTTGCGAAGAGATAGGTAGCATTTTTTTGTAAGCTATACGGGCACCGTGTAGAGAATATTACGTTTGCATTAATGTTGCCTGTTTGAAATCTTAATAGAAACTGAAACATTTATAATTCACACTGTCGTACGAATAACGGTATAACATGAAATCACGGCTGGAAGGAAATTAGATTAAATTTGCAATCAGTTATCCTAGTTCTTACAAGAATAATGAAATTTTAATATAGGTTCGATGTATCCGCAGTTTTCAGCACTCTCCTTTTGAAATTTAATTTTAGGTCCAGCACACTTCGAAAGAATTTTAATTCGAGAAATTAGTTATCAAGTATTCAACATTGAGTATTAAAATGTTGTGGAAAAGAGACTGGCAAAATATGCGCGCGAGTAATGCGTCCATCGAAATTGATTTGATATGCAAAGAATAAAATACTCCTTATTTACATCAAATCAAAAAGTGTACAGTTTACTTTTCATCGCGTACTTCGTAGCGGTTACGAGATATCGACAAAAAACGACGGCTCGGCACGCGGGTTGTTTTTGTCGCCACCGCGTGCTCTATTGTGTATGTACAGCGGTCGCCACGAGCCGTGGGCGGCGCGGCGCGCGGGGCGCGCCGCCCGGCCGTAACGGCTGTGTTGTTATTCTCTCGGCGACGCTCGAACGGGCTGGCACGGCACGAGACGCTCGGCTTACTCCTGCTATACAACGTCATTATTCCTCGAGACGGGACAGCGATGAGTGCTGGGAGAAAGCGCGATCATTCCGTATGAACGATTAGTAATAATTGGTAAACCCGGGCGATTACTTAACTCCCGCGATTAACGATTCACAAGCGTGTCAAACCGGCGGCTATTTATCGGGACATATATTTCGCGTGATTTATTAATTTGAAGTATAGACATCCGTAATTCAAGTAATGGAAAACCGTGATACATATCGATTATTTATTAACGGCACGTATATTTCACACAATTTATGCGCTCGCGATACGCATTGCTCGTATGTAACACTGAAATCTCGATTACATATTTTCGAACAGTTTCTAGCCTTAAATCTTAATAATTGGCTAACGGCTTGGCTCGCGTCGTACGGCGCGGCGTCAGGCTGAAGTTTTCTGCATTATTTTTTAAGCTTCTCGATCATTAAAACGTCGCGCGCATGAGACGGGATCGGCTTACAGTCGAGTGTGGCGTCGCGACGCGTTCAATTGGCAAGTAGTGATTAATCCGCGTGCATTTGCCTTTAATTTTAACTCGTATATTTTTCCGCTTAGGTTATATAATGCAACATAACCATAAAAGGCGCTCGTATAGCTCCATTGCCTCATTATCCGAAGTGCGAGAGTACATGAAAATGCAGTTAGGAGCAATACATAGGTGTAAGGGCTATCGCACACAAAATTGCAAAGGGTGCTGAGGGTGCATAAGTAAAGCATAAAACTGCTAGACCAATAGAACGTCTTAGTAAATCAATATGGCGACTTTATGCTGGATGCTCATTAGTTTAGCGGTATGCATTTTGTGTGCGACTGCCTTAATACCGCCGGGCGCCGCGCCGTGCCGTCATTGTCGTCAAGCGACACTTGACTTTAGCGCTGAAGTTGATCACAGATTTACCGGATTTACGAATTCGCGCCGCCATGTTAGATACATCTGTCGCGTTGAGTTGCGAAACGACGCGGATAGCGGATATCGTACGCCTCGTGGCTCGGTAATCTCGATATAATCGCGCATTTTTTCGCGTCTTGTCTTCTCTCGCGGTACGGTAAGTGCGCGTCGCGTGTGATTTATATCGTCGTGTCTCTGGAGCGCCCGTGTCAGGTGCCACGCAGGTATTTTGGTGGTCGCTGTGAGAGATCGGTGTGCGCGATCGTGCTTAACCAAGTTTTCCGTAAATATTGTGCGAATGTAGTGTAGGGTAGCGTCTACCGACTGTACGAGATGTAGTGTGAACACTGTGAACTGTGAGTGCCCATAAAGAAGTCACGACGCAAAAAGAGAGGAGGCGGAGGCCCGGGGAGGCATCATGCATCGGCGGAGCAACCCTTGGGTGAGCATTGATTTATTTAATTACTGTACTTATTTGTTATTTGCGGTGTTAATCGTTTGTCCTCGTCAAAATCATATGGCGATTTCCACTCGTCATTGTCTTGCTTTATTTTGAGTATTTTCTAATTCTCTCTTTCTCTTTTGCAAGATATTTGATAAAACATTGATATTATTAAATTCATGAATATATGAGTATGTTAAATAGAATACTTTCAAGATGTTTTAGATTTACAAACGTTTTATTGTAAATATTAAATTTTTACTTTTATCAGATTTTCGGATTTTAACGAAAATTGTTACATTAATGAGAGGACTTTTCTCGGAAATTATATAATTATTTTATGAAATATCTATTTAAAAGAGACAGACACGAAAAATTTACGCAAGATAATTTTTAGAAATACTAATTTTATTTTAGAGTTTATAATGTGGATGTTTTTATGCTACAGGTTAATGCAGATATACAATTCCGCTGTTGCGCATCGCATGGGTTGGTGAGTCTAATTATTTTTTATTTTAATGTAAGAGGCTATGAGAATCGTTTCGTGATAATTGTACCGTGTACATGTATATATTTCTCTGTATATATCTCTCTATCTCGTGTATGTATTTCTCTATTTAAGTACGAATACAAGTTAAAAATACATGTTAAAAATGTATCAAGGAGATAATGTGACAAATATTTAAAAAAATAGTAAATTCGAAATTTAGTGAGAAATATAATATAATACTTTATTATACATCATTCAATAGAGTAAATAATCTCTTTTACAGTCTAAATAGATTGATTTCTTTTATAATGTCAAATTTTCTAAAAATAAAAAAATATATCAAAGTTAAGTATTATAAGCATACCTACTATATGTGTTGTAAAGATGCATAAGTTTCCATTAGCTCTTATTGTTGTGGAATTTTAGATTAAAGTTTTTGTCTTGCTGCTAAATTACATTGAGGCTATTTGTGGAAGCAACGCTACGGATGATAAACCATGAGTACGCGCATTCGATTGAACTTAATTAGCGTGCTGCGGGATTAAGTGAAACAAATGTAATTTGCATGAATAACGAATTCGTCAAAATTCATTGCGATCGATTGGCAAATAATCAGCGCGCGAATGGCTCGTGGCCCAATCGGTTTTCGTCTCGCCGAACGAGTTACGATTCCAGAATTCATATTCATAAAAGCTAAACTCGCCAGTATGTAAAGCTTTCTCTCGATATTATACTCGTTCTCATATCTCGGGCAACATTCGCCGATTTGTAAAAACCGAGGTAAAAACAAACCCATCGATTAAGCAATCCTTTTTTTTTTATCGTTAGCTATATAATGTCCTGCAACACGCAAATGTCGATTCGGTGACGGTAATTTTATTTGATTGTATAGACTCATTTAAAGAGATGATTTAATTAACGTACTAGGACATAAATACGAACTCTGTAAAGTGCAAATACTTGAACTTAAATCGGCCGACATCATTATTGCACAAGATAATATCCTTAGTCGTTGATAGTGCCATGGAATAGCTTCAGTTACAGCACTGTTTAAACGATTTAATTACACGATACTTTCCTCTCTCTTTCGTTTTTTTATTTAACAAAATATACGTACAATGTATGTTCGATGCAAGAATCATCTGCATCATTATTACGCAAGAAACGATATCTCCAATCGATAACAGGATCATCGAGTACCTATCTGGCTTGAGCCGCGAAACCGCTTTCTTGGTTCAGCTTATCGCTTGCGTTTTACGTTTGCCACTCGACAAAATGCAATATACCATGTAATTTCACAAACACTGTCATCGCTCGACACATGCACATTCGCCCCCTAGTGTCACGAAGTATCTTATACCTTGTTGGCGCAAAGCAGCGTCGTTCTCCGTGCAACCCGACATATATCACTCGCAGTTTCCACGATCCTCGAGCTGATCCCCCCAAGAAGAATGAAACGGGAAACGAAACGGCCGATAAACAACGGCGCGTTATATCCCCGCCGTCGAGGTTATCTATCCTGCACCTCTGGTCTGCACTTTGCCGACTCGCGGATTTCTTCTCGCCGCGTATATTTACAATCGAATCGCAGCGTCGAAGTGAAAGTTCAATCGTACCGCGGCTACGTGCTATTCTTTTCCCGATTGTCTCGTCACACCGCGAAGCGGAGCGCAGCGCGGACACCACGCGCAGAGAGAAAGAGAAAGAGAGAACGCGCTGAAACACAGCGCCTCGTTGATCCTGAACGATCTCTTCCGCGCCGGTCTCCGCGAGACGAATTCTCACGCTTCGCATTCGATATGCATACATTGGACGATTCTCCGTTCTCCGACTTAATAACGCCCCGATTCCCGCTTCGTTCGCGCAGTGTAAATTAATGCCCGCGGCTCGCGGTGTGTGTAAAGAATCCTTCTCTCTACGCACACACACGGCACTCGGCAGAGTGGTTCCCGTTGCCCCCTGTCCCCTGTGAAATTTTTCGCTCTGCTCGCCCACTTGCTTCACTTTCACGCGACGAGCTTCGCTACCGAACGCATCGCTTCTTCTCCCGCGTAGGCGTCTCACAAGAAGCAATTTCGCCCCGACAGCGTTACGGTAGGAACGTCGCGATCCGGGATATTGAACTGGGCTGATGCAAATGTGATCGAGACCGCATTATAATTTTGTCCAGAAATACCTACATAAATACTCACGTAGAAATATTTCAGGCTTTTACTTGGACAATCCTTTTCATATATACGTTATTTTAAGCGTAAAATATTAAACACGAAAGTCACGACAATTCTTCAGGGTCGCTCAGCAACGTTTCAGCGCCAGCATCGTGATTACGGATGTGGCTGATGCTCTTCAAAACGCGTGTTTGCTCTGGTTTCAGTAACGCTAACCAAGTTCGAAAGTAGTTAAGAAGATTCTAACGAGGTACCGGTCGTTATGCGAGCTCAACGCAGTCTCAACGCGTACGCAACTCTCGCTGCGTTTCGTTAACGATCTCCATTCCGCGACAACGTCCAGGTGGAAGCGGTGAAATGAGGTTTTGCCCGGTCGACGGGCTTACGTTGTGCTCACGGTTCTTACGTGCTTTCCCGCGTAAAGTATGCGCCCGGCTAATGGGGAGACGGCGGAGACGGCGGAGAACAGATATTGCGTGGAGACGCTCGGACCCTGTGGTAAGGTGCCACGGCAGGCAATTAATTCCTCCGGTTAGACTTCCGTATCGGAAAGAGATAAACGCCAGACGCACTCGGTCGAGAGACCTTAGGATCGTATATTACCACGCAGTTTTGCCAAGTCCTTTCCCAACTGCTCGTCGTGCGCTACGCTTGCAAGAACTGTAGTTTCGAACAGGCACTCGCAGATTCTTCTTGACTTTCTTTGACTCTGACAAGATATAAAATACTCGAGAATATATAATTACTGATAAAACTGTAAAGTTTCGTATCGCAACATAATAGGGAATATAAGAATATTATCTTGTTTTTGCGATTATTGAAATCGTATCTTTATGTTACAAAGTTTGTTTTTTAAGCGAATAATGTGATAACTGATAAGTAGGTACTTTCAAGAATATTTACATTTTTTCCGGAAGAATAATGTAATATATATAGATATATGGATGTTGAATTTTTGCTTTTAATTTATGACCGTATATTTGCAGAGAAATGTATTCATACAGTAGCTTAAGGCAGCCATTCCTTTCGACAAAAAAATTTACGATCCACATCGTGTTTCTGCATTAAAATCGTATTAAAATCCTCGGACTCATTTTCGCGGTCATTTATGTGTTACTCGTGCAACAAAGTATACACACGGTTGAATCGCATCGTGTTGCAGCGCCGTATCTGAATACTCGCGTGCAACTGCGCCTATTTATAGTCGCGTTTCTCAAAAAAACCCTGTATCTTTAGCTATACCTTTACCCCAGATACATTATCCGCCGAGATACGTGTACCTGTACCTAGTTACTCTGAAAACGTGCTTTACACGTCACCGGTTGGGATGGTCCGGTGGAGAACGAGCGAACTGGCGCCAAGTGGATGTCACCACCACGTATTTGGCCTCACAAGGACGGCACACACGTGCGCGTTAGCGTGTCCCGTGTGCTCTCAGGCCGGGATGCTTTAGATTCCACGCGGCTAATTAACTTTGCGTTATGGTGAATCCTCGGCTGAATTTAGTCCCGCCGCGCGATCGCGAGCGACAATTATCGGGTTTCCTAGACCAACGTGGTGTCGCGGGAAAAAAAAAATCTCGCGCGGTACTCCTCACAAGTCGCGACGATGGCGGCGACCGTAATTGCTCTGCTCGCGTAACGTCTTACTCTCCGTGTCGATCTGAATTACTAATCGTCTTGCTCCTTGAACGAACGAGCGAACGAACGAGCGAGCGAACGAACGAACGAGCGAGTCGACGACGGTCGAATCACGCGGGAGTCGCTTTTAAGGAGATACGCGCGTTAGAGGCTCGATGACGGGGCGACAGGCGAAATGGATGGCGCGTAATTGCGTGCCGCGATAGCAGAAGAAAGTAAATTTACGGACGGCCCGGCCTCCGTAAATTGCTCGTCGGCGAATTGTGCGGACGGATGCTCATACGTGAGAGGTGTCTGCGCGTCAGCGAGGCGATTTAAATGGTTGCGAGGTAATTGCTGATTAACGAAGAAGGATCGCCGATTTCTCACACACAACTTTGCATCGCGCCAATAATTCCGAATAGAAGGGTAACGCTGACGATTCGGTCTATTTCTAGTTTGTCACTCAATTAAATAAGTAATTCAATTCTGTCTCGCGCTACCAGTGACAGCGCACACTTATTATTAGCAGTAATTGATAAGAAAGTCCTCCTCTGACAGGTAGATTATTATTGATGTACTTCAATGTGAATTCCGTTTTCAGATAATCATATAGAGAATACATCATGTAAGGAAAGATGTAGACATTAGAAAATCCAAAAGGCGTATCGATAGGTTATTTTAAAAATTTTCTTCAGGAAGTTAAAAAATTAAACATCGCTGCACGATTCACAATTAGTAATATAAGAACATTTCAATTGAAGTACGCTTTCTCGTTATTTCGTCGCGTGATCAAGATGGTTGGTTAAGGTATTATTAGTAGTCTGAGATTAGTGATCTAAGATGCGAAATAGATTTAATTATTTACATTGAATTATTTTCTTGGAACTAAATCCGGTAAACGGATCTCGAGCGAAAGTAGCGTTGCATTCGATTTATCGAATGTATCTAATCCCGATCTAAAATCTTGTTCTTCCGCAAAATACAGTCATGCAAGATAGCAACTTCGACAGCGTGCAGGTGGTTCTTAATGGGAGTCAAGGTAAATACACGCCACTTGACATTCACCTATGAGAAGCACTCGCGGAAAATGAGTCATACGCTCTCTTCGCGCACGCGACATCGAAGACGATTTGCACGACGTTAAATGAAAAAAGCTGTCGCGGATTCGACGTTCTTATACCAGCGTGCACGGGAGCGTCAAACGTCCTGTTAA